TTGCATAATTCCGGCCCAATTAAATTATATTTTGAGCCCGGAAAATCTGAATCGGTCAGTAAACAAAAGGCCCAACAATTTGACCCATTTTGCCCCGACCCGGCAGCACCATGACCTTCGTAAACTAAACACCTAAATACAGTTAAACCCAATGTTTTGAAAACCGGACCGGACATCGAACCGGACAAGTAACTGGGTCATGGTTGGACCGGTTCAACCGGGGTCCAACCGGGTTTTTTACTTTTTTTTTTATTTAATTATTTTATTAATTTAATACCTAAAATATAATTTTTTTTTTATATATTTTCTTCCAACTTTAGTGAATCATCCAGGTTAGTCAACGTTTTTCAAGAAAATAAAATAAAATTCAATCATTTTATCCTCTCTCCTCTCTCACTCTAGTCTCTCCCCTCTCCCCTCTCTCTTTCTTCTTTCTGCTACTTTCTCGCCTGTTTTCACAGAGCCTCCCATCCCCTTATCTTCTTCCTTTCTTCTTTTCTTCTTTTTTCCTCTTCTTCTTCCTTATTTCTTCTCCGTCGGTTTATTTTTTCTTCTCTATATGGCAACCACCACTTGGATTGGGTCACATGCGACCCAGATCCATCTACATCCGTTCACTCCCAACCATCTCCGACAAGATTCAGTCGCCTAAGACGACCATTTATGTAGATCCGGCCATTTCTAGCTAAAACCCGGTTCTCGGACTGGTTTCCGGCCGGTCGAACCGGGTTTTTAATAATTGACCCGGGTTTTTGAAGTTTTTGGGTTTTTACATGTAACCGGATCGGACACGGCGGCGGTTCGCGGTTGAACCGGTCGGACCGGCCGGTCCGGTCCGGTTTTCAAAACATTGGTTAAACCTCTATAAATAAATACAATCGGATAACAAAATTTCATTAATTTAGCAAAATTTTATTAATTTATCGAACTAATAATTTAGTACGTTTTTAACGAATCGGGACATGAATAAATTATTATTTAAGCAAGGTTATTAAATTTATCGAGATTCTACTGTAATTTCTTTAGATTACACGATGAATGAAGAACTCAAATCTTGATTTTGACCGGTAAATTTCAACCTTACTCATGTCCGCATTAAATTTTTTGGGTAAATTACAATCGCCCACGAAGGTAGGGTTTGTTTACAAAAAAACTATTTTTTCCCCATAATTACATCTATTCCCTATAATTGTAGATTTCTTACATTAACACCATTTTATGTGGATGTATTTTTATAATTGCACTTTACCTCAGGGAGGTGGTCTTAATTTACCCAAAGTTTTACTTTCAATAAAGTTAGTACCAAAGATTAATTTTGTAGATAATGACAATAAATAAACATAACAATATTATATTAAATACTATAAAATAGGATATAATTATTGATAAGTTAGGGATATTATTGAAAGTCACATTTAATATTAAATTTGACGATTTTAAGACTAATTTAATACAAGGACGCTATGTAACACGGATACGGAAACGGCGATACGAGAAAACAGAGTCATGGACACGGGGAACCGACATGTCCCGAAAATGGAGATATGAAAACTTGGGGAAACATGTAAATATTAAAAGTATAGGGGTATATTTATAAATATACCATATCAAAAATACAAATTTTTATTTATATATAAACTCTTTTTATATATTTTCATACCAATATATCCAAAATAAATTAAACTATCATTTTAAAATATAGGGGTACATTTATAAATTGTAAAAAGTATGTATAAGTCGTCATCGCATAAGAGAACCGCTCGCCCTTGTTGCTCGTGTTCTTGGTCGCCATCGCATGCTAGACTTTTGGAGTTTTGCTCGTGTTGCTGGTTTATACGTATCAAACAAAGATCCTAATAATTGACTTTCTAATTCATCAATAAAGAAATAATTGAATCTAGTGCAGTCGACATATTACAAAAAGTCAACGTAGGCATTTATAACTTAAAAATTTAAATATCTAGAATGAGTAAACTGCAAATACTACCCCTGTGTTATCTCGAAATAGCAAAAACCCCCCTGTGATAAATAAACTAGCAAAAACCCCCCTGTGAAATTTAGTCAAAGGCAAAATCCCCCCTAGCTGATTTTTTAGACTTGAAATGACAAAATTGTCCCTCAAAATGTATTTATATATATACATATTATATGTATATTTATTCCTTTTAATTTATTTGTTTAGAAATTAAAAAAAATAGTAAACAACTAAATTGATTATTTTTTAAATAAAATAATTAAAATATTTATAAAATATAAGAATTTATTAATTGCAAGACTCCAGGGGTATTTGTGTCTTTTTATATCAAGTCAACCCTCAAATAGTTCCATAGGGGGGTTTTTGCTATTTAAATAATTTCACAGGGGAGGTTTTTGCTAGTTTATTTATCACAGGGGGGTTTTTGCTATTTCAAGATTATACAGGGGTAGTTTTTGCAGTTTACTCTATCTAGAATCCCTCCAGTTTGATGACCAAACTCCTACCTAGCAATTTAATTTAAGGGCAAATTACCAAAACCCCCATGAGGTAAGGCTGAATAACGAAAATCCCCCCCTTGTTTGCGTAATTACGAAAATCCCCCTGAGGTATGTTGTCATCTTACAAATTCCCCCTACGGTGTTACTTCTGACGGAATCTTTTTGATTCCATGGAATATTCCTCCGAAAATGACATTCTTGCCCTTGAGGGGTAATTGTAAGCATATTAATTACTTAGGGGGTAAATTGTAATGTATTTAAAAAATGTAGTTATTTTAATTTTAAAACTATAATGTATTTCTTCATTTTATAATTATTAAAAAGATAAAATGTATATAAAATAATTAAAGATAACATTAAAAGTTTTTATTTCTTTTTTAATTTTTTTATATATTTTTTTATTCAATAAAATCGAGGTTACGTATTTTTGAAATACTCTCGTATTTCTTATTTTATGCTACAAATATTTTTAATAGTTTTTTTAATATTATGGTAATTGTCAATGTTTTATTATATTTTTTCGTCAAAAGTAACACCGTAGGGGGGCTTATAATACTTAAAAAACGTAGTTATTTTAATTTTAAAACTATAACGTATTTCTTCATTTTATAATTATTAAAAATATACAAAAAGAATATATAAAATAATTAAACATATCTTGTAACATAATTTTTTTTACTTGTTTTGTATTTTTTTTTTATATATTTTATATTTTTTTATTCAATCAAAACGAGTTTACATATTTTTGAAATATTCTCGTATTTCTTATTTTACGGTAAAAATATTTTTAATAATTTTTAATATTTGTTTAATTATATTTCAATTTTAAACAAACGAAATGTAAAAAGTATATATTAAATACAAATAAATCATAATATTCCATTGAGGGGGATTTTCGTAATTACGCCTTACCTCAGGGGGGTTTTCGTAATTTGTTTTTTTTCTTTTATTTTTTACATATTTAACAGAAGGGTATAATAGACTTTTCACGTTTTCTGTTAAAAAAAATTGGTCAACCGTTAGTCAAGGGGGATTTTCGTAATTACGCAAACAAGGGGGGGATTTTCGTTATTCAGCCTTACCTCAGGGGGGTTTTGGTAATTTGCCCTTAATTTAATTAAACCCCTTTTGCAGCAGTGTCATATCTAATGTTCAATATTTTTAAAATATAGGTTATGACCCCCAATCTCTTGTAAATATGATTTTTGACCCTTCAACTTTCTTAATTTTCTCCATATTGTCATGTAAATTTGTTAACCTTTTCATATTATGATTACAACATAAGATATTATGGCTAAAACTTATACTATTTTAAATAAAATTTACAAATATTACTTATTTTTCTGCATATTTTTATGAATTATTCTCAAAAGACATTTTAATCATCCCACCGTTGTATAATTTCACAAAAAAATCGGCTCCCTAACCAACCATATACACTGTTCAATAAACCTCCACTCGTTCTCATGGAGAAGCTCGCGAACCATGCAAGAGATGTAAATGATCCGATGATTTATTTTTACTCAGAGCTCAATCATGAACCTACTTATAAACCAGCACATTGTAAACTTGCACATTATAAACCCGTTTTGAACGCATTAGTTATATTCTCGCAAATTTATGACTCGCGCACACTTTTAAATCAATATATCATATCAAACAATGGAGAAGATGACATGTTTGCTTCCCATAAAAAGGTCAAATTAACAGTGAAATATTGCTTCAAAATTATGAGTAATATTACATGTAATGTTATGGGGCAATAAGTTTTGCTATCATTTACCTAATTAGTGCTTCTTATCAACATTAGGAAGTGGACACTAACCAAAATCATGTTTGAAAAGTAATGAATCCCCTAATTTCAACTATTATTATATACTTCTCTCTTGCCATATAAATCAAAATATGTGAGGGCCTACGTCACAATTCAATTGGTTTTGCATATTTAATATTCTAATTTATGTATGATGCACTGAAACTTTTATACACATGCGTTTTTACGTTTCGCAGATGTTTTGGTAATCGAAACGCCATAACACACATGTCTAAAATGTTTTGAGGTTGTTTCCGTAGATATTTAAAAGTTTTGGGGACGTTTCTTGTAGTAATGAGTGTCCGTTTCCACCGAGAAAAGAAATTCCAAAACCCGTTTTAAATTAAGACTCAGAATTGCTTACGCTTAAGAAATCTTGAATCTTATGTCTCCTTTTCATATTGCTTGTAGATGCTAATTGATGCTGAAATACATTTGTATGCCCTGATTGTAATTTGTGGAATGATAATTCTGAATTTTGGAACTTGTAAATTATATATAAGTTAAACGTTATAATTTTGTATAGTAATCAGAGATGTATCCACATATTTTTATTGTTATCACGTTTCCCCACATTCATGTATCCAACTTGTTGAAAAAACGAGTTTTTCCCATGTCCTCGTTCTCGTGTCCGTGCTACATTGATTTTATTACGTTCTAATATACAAAATTAAATATTTTACTAAATTAAATAATTAATTAGTAAATATGAAATTATTTAATCAATTCAATATTTAATCCAATCAAAACCCACCATATCTTAAAAATAATTTAATTAATAGTTTGGTGAATAGTTGACATTAAACATACACACCTGGCCGGCGCGTGGTAGTTTGTTGCTCTTTCAGTTTGGCGGGTCTCTTAACCTGAAAACGACGTCGTCTTCTTCCGCCATTACAGAAAGCATAAAATTACTGAAAAGCCCTTGACAAAATTAGAAATTCTCTTCCGATTCTTCCGCTGCAATCGCTCCGATTTGTCCGGAAAAAAATCATCCGCGAATCGCTATATTCCCGCAGCCAATGGACGGCCAAAACGACGACGCTTTGCTCCCCGGGTCGAATTACCACTGTTACTCGGAGAAGTTCGCTTTCCGCTCCGATTCCGACGAGGAATCGGCCGACGGCGGCGCTAATTTCAGCTTCGACGACGCCTCGTCGAATCACCAGAAGGCGCCGCGGATCTTCGACCGGTTTTACAACTCGTCGTCGTCGGAGGAGGACGATGAGGAAGACGCCGCCAGCTCTTCCAATCACCAGCGGCGGCTGGACTACATGCTCCAGTTCCTCGACCGGAAGCTGTCCACTTCTTCCTCCAACAGCCAGCCGTTGCCGGAATTCACTGGTTCTGGCGGCGGGATCGGGGTATTCAAACCCCCAATTCGGGGCCCGGTCCACCCGAACCGGCCGGTTGGTCTCGAGATAAGGCCACATCCTTTGAGAGAAACTCAAGTGGGGCGATTCCTTAGGAATGTTGTTTGCGTAAGCGATGGTGATGGGTCACAATTGTGGGCCGGGTCGGAATGTGGTCTCCGGGTATGGGATTTGAAGAATGATATTTATGGTGGGATTGTGGAGGGGGAAGAGGACGGAACGGTTAGATTCCGGGAGTCGGCACAGGTGGCGGCTGCCGCCCTGTGTGTGGTGGGTGATGGAGGAAATAGATTGGTGTGGAGTGGGCATAAGGATGGGAGGATTATGTGTTGGAAGATGTTGGATTTTTCGAACGGTCGGGGGAATGGGGATTCGGGTAATGAGTTTCAGGAGTTGTTGTCTTGGCAGGCGCACCGAGGGCCTGTGCTCTCAATGGTTGTAAGCTCTTATGGTAATCTTGCTATTTGTTTTAACTCTTTTTTTTTTTAATTTCTTTCAATTCAGCTTCGTGTATGTTATGGAACTTTGAAATGATTGCATCCGTGCTGAGAAATGATTTTAGAATGAGTAAAAAGTGAACTCTGCTGAACTGGTTAGTTTGGAATTTTGCATCTTTCTCCACTGATTCGAGTTCCACAAATGGCACAATTTGATGTTTTGCGAGCCTGCCGCTGCTGGATAAAATCGAGCGGTGGAGGAAATATTGTCAAGCTTTGTATTGAAATTAAAGAACATTAAGTATCTTCTATTCATCTGGAACTGTTAAGGAACTTTATCTCAAAGAGAGAGAAACAGATAATTCAAGATTCTAGGGCCTTTGTTTCTTGTGTGCACAATATTCAGTTGATTTTCTCTCCCTTTATTCATGCCTCCTTGCTACACTTCGTCAGTACATTTTGTTTCAAGTAATTTATTGCTGAACCATAGATTTTTTTGGCTTTGTTCTAGGAGGTATTACATCACGAAAGTTCCGTTTTCCCACTTTTGTTTTGTCGATGATTGCTCCAATAATTTTTTTTGGGGAATTGAAATTATGATAAATGATTTTTAACTATCTTAAGTTAAAGTAATATTAATAGATCATGCATTTTTTTTTTCTCTTTTGTCCAGGGGATTTATGGTGCGGGTCTGAGGGTGGTGCGATTAAGATTTGGCCTTGGGAAGCTATTGAGAAATCACTTGCACTGACAACTGGGGAAAGGCACATGGCGTCTTTATCGGTAGAAAGGTCATACATTGACCTCAGGACCCAGAATAGCATCTACAGTAACATATTTACTTCTGATGTCAAGTATATGTTATCGGATCATTCTGTAGCCAAGATGTGGACTGCCGGTTATCAGTCATTCGCTTTGTGGTATGTCATTATTAAAGTCATTATTCTATAATTATTAGCTGATAGAAAATTAATCTTAAATGGGGTTTTATGCTAATTACCACATCTGGCAATTGTGGTTGTGTGGATTACTATTGTCTAGTATTGTTAAGGAAAATCAGTACTTCTAGGATATGCTTCAATGCATCAATAGAGAATCTGTTGGATCTTCTCGGACACTTCTTAGTGGCTGATAAGACATTGTAGTAAAAAAAAAGGAAAATTGGACATTTGCTTGCATTATGTGATTCAATAATTCTTTCCAGAGTAGGTGCTTTGTACAACTTAAAATCACGATAACCATGTTCTTGAGCATTCTCAGTCGAACAAGTAGTTCAAACTTGAGATTCTTCTATATTCACAAAAATGGATAATTGGTGAAGAAAATGAAGTTTGTAGAGTGGATAACTGGTGTAGTTCACAGTTAAGAGTGCTTAAAGCATCAGTTCACAGTACTTTTGCATGTTTTTAGTAGTTATGTATTCCATTCTTCTTTAACAGGGATGCTCGAACCCGAGAGTTATTGAAGGTATTTAACATTGACGGCCAGATTGAGAATTTGTCACTCGATGCTTTGGCAGAGGATGAGATGAGGATGAAATACGTATCTAGTAATTCAAAGGAAAAGACACAAAATTCTTTTAATTTCTTTCAACGTTCCCGTAACGTTATATTAGGAGCAGCAGATGCTGTTCGTCGAGCTGCAGTAAAAGGAGCTTTTGGAGATGACAGCCGGCGAGTTGAAGCACTGGTGGCAACGTCCGACGGAATGATTTGGATCGGATGCTCAAATGGTTCACTTCTGCAGTGGGATGGAAACGGGACCCGCTTGCAAGATATCCAACACCATTCTTTTGCAGTTCAAAGCCTCTGCACAGTTGGGGCTCGAATATGGGTAGGTTACACGAGTGGCACTGTGCAAGTTTTGGATCTCAACGGTGATCTGCTTGGACAATGGGTAGCTCATAATAGCCCTGTGATTGATTTAGCTGTTGGGGCTGGTTATGTTTTTACCTTGGCTAATCATGGTGGTATACGAGGGTGGAGCATCACCTCTCCTGGACCACTTGATAACATGTTTCGTGCAGAGTTGGCTGGAAAGGAGTTTTTATACACGAGGCTCGAGAATCTGAAAATCTTGGCTGGAACATGGAATGTTGGACAAGAAAGAGCAGCTCCGGATTCCTTTATATCGTGGCTTGGCTCGGCTGCTGCAGACGTTGATATTATAGTCGTTGGGTTGCAGGAGGTGGAAATGGGTGCTGGTTTTCTCGCCGTGTCTGCTGCTAAAGAAACTGTATGGTACCTCTATTTCATTTTTTTATGTTTTACTTCATTTGTTTTTTTTGGTAAAAGAAATCTTTACAATCTGTACAAGTCTTGAGTGGCTGTGCATATAAGTGCAAAATTATTTTGATCCCATATAATTTCGCTTTTCGACTTTAGCTCACAAACTAAGAATCGTTTTCGGAAACCGGACGGATCAGATCAGTATTAGCACTTTCGGAAAAATCCATTTTTTTTTTGGAAATGAAAAACTAATTCTTATTCCATTCCGAAAAAATAAAAATTGGAATTTTGGGAATTGGATCTAAAAAATGTATTGCATAATTATAATTTTTCAGATCGAGATAAACAAAAATCGAAAATCCATTTTTTGTTCATCTATAATATAAAATAACTAATAATATTAATATTGTAAGCGTAATTTTTGGGGGAAAATGTAATTTTTGGAATTATTTTTTAAAATTTAATTTGATTGGAAATCGGAATCTCGTATATATATTCCAATTCTGATTCAAAAAAATGAAAAAAAAAATGGAAATTGGAATTTCCGGGATTCGGAATGAAAATATTGTTCCAAAATCTGAAGTTTTTCATATGATCAAATGTTCCATCAAGAGTGGTAAAATATGGTTTGTAGGTGCTGTTAGCTTCAAGTACTGCCTTCTTCTTCCTTATCCCTTTTCTTGGGGATCATTCGGTTCACTTTTGTTTTCAAACATGTTAATGTCTACTCATACGACACTTGCAGATGGGTCTTGAGGGTAGTTCTGCAGGACAATGGTGGCTAGATATGATTGCAAAAACATTGGACGAGGGTTCTACCTTTTCAAGTGTTGGCTCCCGGCAGTTGGCAGGGCTTCTTATCTCTGTGTGGTTAGTACTGTTGCATTAATTGTGCCATTCAAAGTTAAATCCATTTTCCATATCTTGTTTGTCAGTTCGACTCATAGGTGTTTGATCTAATGTTTCAGGGTTCGAAACAACATCCAGGCCCATGTTGGGGATGTCGATGTTGCAGCAGTTCCTTGTGGTTTCGGACGAGCTATCGGAAATAAAGTATTATTCCTTTTATCTCGAGAGTCGATTTTCAAATGATTTGCTGCTTCTTCATCTTTGTTATGAAAACTTAAGGTTCTCTTGGCAGGGAGCTGTTGGGCTGAGGATGAGAGTGTATGGTAGAGTGATGTGCTTCGTGAACTGTCATTTTGCCGCGCACTTAGAGGCTGTTAATCGCCGAAATGCTGATTTCGATCATGTATATCGAACAATGATTTTTAGTCGGCCGTCTAATAATTTGAACGTTGTGGCTGGTACGGTGCTCTGCATTTACTCTTATTGTTTCCTTGCTTGCTCAATTTTGTTTTTTTATCACTTGTTTACTGTTCGCGCCTGCCATTGGTCCTTTCTATTGCAGCTGGTGTTTCATCTGCAGTTCAAATGCTTCGTACAAATGTATGTTTCCTTCTTAACGTTCTTGTTTGAGGTTTTCTTTGCTTATTACATAATCAAATATAACCCGTATTTGATTGTACAGACTATGGGGATCAACACCGTGGAAGGAACGCCAGAGATTTCTGAGGCAGACATGGTTGTGTTTCTCGGGGACTTCAATTATAGACTCGATGGCATATCTTACGACGAAGCGAGGGATTTCGTTTCGCAAAGATGCTTCGACTGGCTTAGAGAAAAGGATCAGTTGCGAGCAGAAATGGAAGCTGGACACGTCTTCCAAGGAATGCGGGAAGCTGTTATCAAGTTTCCTCCAACATACAAATTTGAAAGGAATCAACCTGGTTTGGCAGGTGATCCAAAAATTTCTCGATTCGACAATAATAATTTGCATACATATCTATATTAGGGCAAAATTCTGTTTATCTTTCTTCGTTTCTTTAGAAGTCTGACTTTGATTCGATAATTCTTGCTAAGGGTACGATTCTGGAGAGAAGAAACGGGTTCCTGCTTGGTGCGATAGAATTTTATATCGTGATAGCCGTTCGACTTCAGCATCTACATGCAGCTTAGACTGCCCTGTGGCCGCCTCAGTATTGCAGTAAGTTGCTCGTGAAAAAAAAATCATATTATCATCCTATTTTTCAGTTGCATAAATTATTACAAATCGTCTCTTTATTTTCCTACTCGTTTTAAGGCTAACATCTTTCGACAGGTACGAAGCCTGCATGGATGTTACCGATAGCGACCACAAGCCCGTCCGTTGCATATTAAATGTGGAGGTGGCTCGAGTCGACGAGACAGTAAGAAGACAAGAGTTTGGAGAAATCATTAAATCAAACGACAAAATCAAACGTTTGCTTAAAGAACTAACCAAAGTCCCAGAAGCATTTGTCAGTACTAATAACATAATCCTTCAGAACCAGGACACGTCCATTTTGCGAATCAGTAATAAATCCAAGAAAGACAGAGCTCTATATGAAATAGTTTGTGAAGGTCTGTCTACTATCGAGGATGGACAAGCAACCGATCATCGCCCAAGAGGTTCTTTTGGCTTCCCAATGTGGCTCGAGGTAATTTTCTAATTTACGCGGTCTTACATTGTGTAATCTTTTATATGTTGCAATTTGCCCGTAATGATTAAAATAAAAGGGCAAATTACGGCCACCCCCTGAGGTATGGTTAAATTACGAAAACCCCCCTCCTGTTTGAGTAATTAAAACCATTCCCTCAACTATAAATCTTCTTACACGTACACCCTTGCGGTTTCAAATTTAATGGAATCTTCTAGATTATATGGAATATTCTCTATTTTGGACCCGTTTTTCCCATTTGAGTTCCACATTTTGATGCTAGATGATCATAAGATGTGTTTTTTTGGCTAGTATATATCAGATTGTGGTGCATTAAAAACTGTATTTTTGCACAAAACAAGTTCAAACTAGAGAACATTCCACGGAATCTAGATGATTATGTTGAATTTGACACCATAAGGGTGGAGATGTAAGAAGATTCATAGTTGAGGGGTAGATGTAATTATCCAAACAAGAGGGGTTTTTCGTAATTTGACCATACCTCAGGGGTGGTTGTAATTTACCCTTAAAATTAAATACTTTTTTTTTTCTTCATATTATTTATCATGAGTTTCATATGTAAACAGGTCAGCCCTGCAGCTGGAATTATCGAAGCAGATCAAATTGCCGAAATATCGATCCGTGCTGACGAATACCAAACGTTAGAAGAATTCGTCGACGGGGTCCCACAAAACTTTTGGTGCGAAGATTCGAGGGACAAGGAAGTAGTTCTATTAGTGAAAGTGCAGGGGAGATGCACAGTAGATCCCAAATTCCATCGAATACGCGTGCGCTACAGCATTACCGGTAAACTCACACCTATGATCCGCAAAGACGATAGTACCCCCACCCCAGTCCAATCAAATATGCTTCACCGATCCGATTTTCATCAACTAAGTGGTTCTTGTGATTTTGTTGACCACTTGATAAATCTAGATAGTCCTTGATCGACAGAGTGTTCGAATCTTTGTTACTGTACCGTTCTATTGGTTGAAGATATACTTAAGGCTATGATTGGTTGAAGATGGTATTTTTCACTATTTTACTCGGTTTTTCGTTTGGTCCAATCGTATGGAAGCAAATGTGTATATAGGATGTATATACGATCTTCTTCAGTAGCAACGTTCGGGAAGTTGGTTTTTGAGGTTTGAGTTAGGAGGAATACAGAGTGGTTTTTGCTGACAGAGGTAAGTGAAATTTGTTGTAAGAGTATCTTTTATGAATAAGTAACAAACAGCCTGGGTAGAGAAAGTGTTTTAGTTTTTCTCTGCCTTTGTGTTGTCATTTGATTTTTTTTTCTTTTATTCGTATTGAGTGTGTGTGTGTGTGTGTGTGTGTGTACAATTGAGTGATGTGAGTGAATGTGGATAGGGATTAATTGAAATAATTCAATAGTTGAGATTTTGTTTATCATTTTTTTTATCTTTGTTGTAAGGGCAAATTACGGCAACCTGAGTTATTGTCAAATTACGAAACCCCCCTCCCGTTTGGGTAATTACAGATTATGAAGATACTCCTCAAGAGGTAAATTTAGGGACGTTAAATCGGTAAAAACGAACCAAAATTTTGGTACGCCAACATTTCATACCGTTTACCGAACTGAATATACGATTTGGTTCGGTAAATTAACGAATTACATAAATTTTATGTAAAAATATTAAAAAAGAGGGGGTGGTTGTAATTACCCAAACAAGAGGAGTTTTTTCGTAATTTGACCATACATGAGGGGTGGCCGTAATTTGCACTTGTTGTAAATATTTTATTTTTGCATATAAACAGCAGTTTTTTCAACAATCAGAAAGAAAGGAAAAAAAAAAAACTCTTAACAGATACTAATAAGTAATCAGTATAAAATGTTCAAATTGCCCCTAAAGAAAACATATGAGTTACAAATAAATCATTAAGGTATGTCAATATTACAAAATTCCCCTCTTATTTGCAAAACTAAATTTACCTCCTAAAACTAACGACGAAATCTAACAAAAACTCTTAAAATGTCTGTTGTTCCAATTCCGTTGTCGGAAATTTTAGAAATTGGAATGAAAAGAAATGTTTCAAAATTAGAAATTTTCGGATTGAAATCTGCAATGTTTCTCGGGAAATACTACTTTTTTGGTTTTTTTTTTCAAAATTAAAATAGGATCGAAAATCATAATCTAAAGTATACTTCATTTTCGATCGAATTTTTTTTTTCCAGGAAAATAAAAAACGAGAATTTTCGAATTCAGCATACAAAATATCATTCCGAAAAGGGTAAAAATTGTACTATCTATTTGATAACAAAGGAACCAACAACCAACTATATGTGTACATTGAGTAAACTTACACTCTCGTATAAATGTTTGCAAACCATACAAATGACGTACACCACACTATAACTAACTATGTATGATAAGCTCGACCTAGCGACCGTTGGCAAAGAGATTCGAACTTGAATCAATTGAAACATGCTGACTTGCTCAAACCACTACGCGCCGGCCCTTACTAGAAAAAAAATATTAAAAAAATTGTGCCAACTAACTTTTAGCCTTTGTAGTAGTTTCCTTCTCCCAACAAACTTTTCGCCACGTAGTAAGTTGTACCGACACAAGTAAAAATAATGGCAATTAATTGGAGTCATCTGAATTCTTTTGCAGGGAAAATTGTAGTTTTGGTCCTCTGTGTTGGTTTATTTAAGAATTTAGTCCTCTAACTTATCATGTTTCAATTTTACATGAAATAACTTTGTAAATATAGTATCTTTAGTCATATGTTGCATGATTTTTAATTTGATGACGCGACAAATAAACCTGACGCAACTTACTTATATGGACGCTTGGAAATTTATAAATTTGACATCTGAGTTATCATTTGTAGAACTTTAATTATGTGACACGACTCTTCTATAACTCAAATTAGAGGAGTATTTGTAGTTTTTAAGTGTCCATATAAATGTACGAGTTTGTTAGGTACATTATTAAACGGTGGCTAAAATTCAAAGTTCGAGTGAAACAGGATTAAAAATACTACTTTTGCATAATTATTGCATGTAAAATTGAAATATGATAACTTATAGGACTAAATCCCTAAAGAGACCAAAATATAGGAACAAAAATTACAAATTTACATAATTCTTATGTGCACCTAACTCACAGTACCAAATTATAAATCCAATTGATTCGAACGAAAACAAGTGTTGCCCTCCCACAAAATACAAAAATCTTCAACAATGTTGTCAAAGTTTCTTGCTTGATTTTCAATTTTTTTTTAATTTTTTTAATTGTGGGAGGTAGAAAAGAAAGAAGGGAAAATGGTGGGAGAAACAGTGGAGAATAAGCAGATAATATTCAAAGGGTACATACAAGGAACTCCAAAAGAAACAGATATGGAGTTGAGGGTTGGGAAGAAGATGAAAATGGAGGCTCCAAAAGGTTCTGGTTCTTTCTTGGTCAAGAATCTTTATCTCTCTTGTGATCCTTACATGCGTGGTCGTATGAGGGATTTTCATGGCTCCTATATTCCCCCCTTCCTCCCTGGTTCTGTAAGATTCTGAATATCTCTCTCTCTCTCTCTCTCTCTCTCTCTCTCTCTCTCTCTCTCTCTCTCTCTCTCTCTCTCTCTCACACACACACACACACACACACACACACACATTTTACTTCTTTGTTTGTAATCTTGAACATTAGTTAATGGTTTCAGAATAGGCTAGTTTTGGTGACTATTGTTTAGTGTCTGCACTTCTTTTAGGATCTTTTTGAGTTTGACCAGTCAGAGTCGAGCTGAATGTATGATTGTTCAAACGCGTTCGAAATATTTACTAAGTTTAGAAAATTGTGTTTGAGTTTTGTTTGATTAAGAATCGAGCTCGAGTATCTTGATTATTTTTATATTTTTTTTATCAGGAAGAAATGTGTGTATGAGCATGGTTTGTTTAGCAATCGAGCTTCCGATACCGTGGTTTTAATATACATTTTATCACTTTTTTTTAATGGAGTTCGACTCGAGTAGACCTTCGTATCGTAATAGAACCAAGACTATAAGTAGATTTATATACATTCGTATCCTAACCATTGATTTGATTTTTTGGGGGAAAATAGGTTATCGAAGGATTTGGAGTGTCGAAAGTAATCAACTCAGATAACCCGAACCTCAAACCAGGAGATATAGTTTCGGGTTTTACGGGTTGGGAAGAATACACCTTAATCCACAAACCCGAGCAGTTGAGGAAAGTTGAGCCGGATAATATGCCTCTCTCATATTTTATAGGCCTCCTCGGTACGCGCAAGCTCTACGCTGAAACTTCCGAAAAATTTCAATTTAGAAAGAAATATATTCTTATCTTGAATACTTGCTTGATTTTAGTCTTGATCCGTTGCACATTTAGAGGGTCGTAGATAGGGGTGGAAATTCGTATTCGTATGGAATTTCCGAATTCCACCGCTTTCGATCTGAATATTTATTTCCGATCCCGGAACAATATTTTTCTATGCCGAATTCCTAAAGTTACGATTTCCGTTTTTTCAAAGGAATCGGGATACATATGAGATGCCGATTTCCGAACTGATTTTTTAATTTCCAAAAGATTAAAGATTCCTTTTTTTTTTTTCCGGACTTGTGATATATTATAGGTGATAAAAAAGATTGGAAATTCCCAATTCGAAAATTTCCGATTTTGGAACAAGTTCTTGCATTTTCATTTAAGAAATTCCGATTTCCAATTTCTTTCAATTATTTTTCGAAAGTGTTAATTCTAATCCAATCCGTCCGATTTTCACAGATGGTCATTTCCTAAGAATTAGACGGTCCTCTTGAACTACAATAGCTTTTGCTTTCATTATACACGTACGCTGTGTGTGTGTGCACGCGCCCGCGCGCGGACGCTTTTTTTTATACTACTACTTGGGGAAATCATTTGATCAAGAACTTCATTACAGGCATGCCAGGTTTTACAGCTTACGTAGGATTTTACGAGGTTTGTGCCCCAAAGAAAAATGAGTATGTCTTCGTTTCTGCTGCCTCTGGAGCTGTTGGTCAACTTGTCGGTCAACTGGCAAAATTACACGGATGCTACGTTGTTGGAAGTGCAGGGTCTAGCCAGAAAGTGAGTGTAAAATGCTATGTATATTTTTTGTTGCATACAGAATTTAGTGATACATTTGAATTTAAAAAACTATCGATTCTTGTGATTTGTCGAGGTTGATCTCCTGAAGCATAAGCTTGGATTCGACGAAGCTTTCAACTATAAAGAAGAACCGGATCTTGATGCAGCTCTTAAAAGGTCAGTTATAAATCTCGAGAAAAACATAAACATGACATCCTTTTTTCGACCTTACGATTATTTTATTAGAACTGAAATCGGATGAATCAGATTAGAAATTCGAAATTTTGGAAATCGGAATCATAAAGAAAAAAAAACTATTTGTTCTTTCTCACATCACATTGAATTAATGAGTTCATTTGAAATACGAAAATTAGGTACTTTCCACAAGGCATCGACATATACTTTGAAAACGTGGGGGGGTCAATGCTGGAGGCAGTTTTGGTCAACATGAGAATCCACGGTAGAATCGCAGTTTGCGGAATGGTTTCTCAGCAAGGAATGTCCGATGAAAAAGGGATCAAAAACTTATTCAATCTGATCTCAAAGCGCGTAAGAATGCAGGGTTTTCTGCAGCACGACTATTTGCATTTGTTTCCGAGTTTTCTCGAAAAAGTCGGGGGTCTTTACAAGGAAGGAAAGATAACATATTTAGAAGACATTAATGAAGGATTGGAAAGTGGGCCTTCTGCATTTGCTGGTTTGTTTTCTGGCAAAAATATTGGCAAGCAGGTTATCTGTGTAGCTCATGAATGAGAGATTTTCTCAACTTTTGTACTATTGAAAACTGGTTTATTTGTCTATTTATCATATTATTATATTCAATAAAATATGCATTTATTTTTATTTGTACTACTTATAGTTTATCAAATTCAATAAAAATATGTTTTTATTTGTATTACTGTCAAAATTTAGATTGATCTAACTTCTATGTAAAATACAAGTAATATTTCTGATGAGCATGCAAAGTAATCATCAATTCATCATACATAAGTGTAAATTTATATCCATTAGATTTAATTTTAAAAATATTACTATTGATAATCAGTAAGGGTAAATTAAGAAATAAGGTTAAATTACGAAAAGAATCACTCATGTTTGGGTAATTACAACAAGCCCCTTCAACTATGACTTTTCTTACATGTCCGTCCACCTTTGCGGTGTCGAATTTAGTGGAATCTTCTAGATTATGTGAAATATTCTCCAGTTTGTACCTATTTTACCCCCATTCAAACTCCACATTTTGAACCAAGATGATTATAAAATGTGTCTATTGGCTTGTAAATATCAGATTGTGGTGCATTAGAAACTCCATTTTTGCACAAAACGAGTACAAACTAGAGAACATTCCACTGAACAAGAAGATTTTGTTGAATTTGACATGTAAGAAGATTCATAGTTGAGGGGTGGTTGTAATTACCCAAACAAGAGGAGGGTTTCGTAATTTGACTTTACCTCAGGGGGTTGGCCGTAATATATCCTAATCAATAATAGAACAAGAATAACATTTTCGGAACTATCTCTTTATTCTGACGAATCACAACCATGAGAGACGACCGTGCTCGCGTAAATCTATTATTATTGTTGTACAAACAACAGCAGTTCTTGGCTTCTTGCTTGTCGGAAGTTGAGAGAGAGAGAACAAAGAAGCAAAGATAAAATTAGGGATACATTACTTGTTATTACAAGGGAATAGAATATCCTCTGAGGTATCTGGAATCTACGCCAGATTCCCGAGCCAACGCCACCCTTCCGGTCCTAGCCACCTTGATATAAAAGAAATATTTCAATTTTATAATAATCTATAGAATGTGACACAGCGATTTTCGCAAGTCGAGATTTCTCAAACACAATATTTCAATTTAATTGGCACAATCAAAAAAAAACTTAAGAAATCGAAGTCATGCAAGGAAAAGGTCGATTGGGATGTTATTTCGGAAAACACACCTCACAAATACCGTAAGGCTCCAACAAATTCTGGAGTGCAAGCATTTTATTGAAATCTCCCGTTACCTGAACGAAATAAATTGAAATATTACGCATCACTGAACGACATTGACAAAGGCAAAAAATCCGGTACTTAATAATTTTGTATTCATAAAAATCCACAAATCGCACCACATGAAAACAAGAATACGAGTCAATATATAGTCTTTTTAGTCTCTTCTTTTCTACAAACCTAATCATGCATGCTTAGCTTCACACGAAAACAAAATACATATTCCCACCTCTAGCAAAAGCAAGTACACTTGCAAAAGTTTCATGCACTACTATCTATGCATCGCCAAAAATATTTCACCAGAACTTAATAAACTAGTGGTTGAATTAGAGAGACGAAAGAAAGCTATTACCTCTAATGTCACTGTATGATCAGAGACATCAACGGGTTTAGCCCGGAAAATGTTGGCTATGTCAAGAACATCCCTTCTTGCAGAAGCATTTGCAGCAATTTTAATCAGCATTAGTTCACGCTCGGCAAATGGCAAGTGTGTCATATCTTGAACCTGAAACAGTTCAACAAAGTATTTCTTTTGTTAGTTATTTTTGTATCTCGGTAAAAATGGGAAATATAAACACCTTTCAGAAATAAAATAAAATAAATAAATAAATCAGCTAGTACTATAGCAGTTAGAAAAATTTAGTTGAGGCAAATATGAAAACAATAAGTCTACAAACGATAAGTTTGTGAAGAGTGTAATATATCTCAAGGCACCAATTACGTAATGGGAGAAGTAAAATTTATTCAGAAAAGCTTATTAAATAATTCAGAACTGAGAAAACGAAAATCCTTCACCTCATGAATATCCACCAACTTATAGAATTGCTGAACCAATTTTCCAATACTTTCATCTGTTCCAGGAACAACAGTTGTTATGCGTGAAATCCCTTCGCTTTCTGCGGGGCCTACAGCAAGACTCTGAACATAATTTCACACAAATTAATTTAGGCAACAATCAGAGTCTTCATGGAAATGAAGCAAATCGTGTAAGATTCTAATATATATTACAGTAAACGAAAGCAGAGCATTAAATTGAACCAAGTTGACCTGAATATTATATCCTCTTCGAGATATGACACCAGTTATCAAGTTCAAAACTCCGGGGGAGTTGTTGACGACCATGGATAAAGTGTGTGATTGAAGGCCACTTGACTGTTGCATTAGAACAAGAGTTTAACGTTTTTTTTTATAAATATGATCTACATAAGTCAATAATATCAGTCATGAACGTTAAAAGTTTCAGCATAAGAATAGATGAATATATAAAATCAGAACTTGTAACAGAGACATCAGTGTTAAAATAGAATGAATTTCATGAGGGGATAAGCTGGGAATAAATAAATAGGGACTCTCATGAAATTTTCGTAGTGGGGAAAAAAATTCTTACATCTTCATCGTAGAGAACTCCCCAGTTAGCATCAAGAATTCGATTATAGAAGCCACCGTCAGGTTCAACAGGATAAACATCACCCTTCAATCACGAACATATTCTTAGTTCACATGAAACTCAATTTAAATGAAAAATGCAACCATAGATGTGAAAATTGTCATTGCCTATAGTACACTCATTAACTATGAAGTAGCTTTTGTTACGAGGATAACAAATACCAAACTACAGATTTCACACAAACAAAACAGTTTATGATTGCACAACAGAGCCAAACCGAATGACATTTTTTGTGGAAAATAATACTTTTCTCTTAACTCGACAGTGTGTTCAAGGTGTAATAGAGTTTAACTGACAATCGCCAAAATGAAAAAGCTGTATGGCCCTTCAATCACGAACATATTCTTAGTTCACATGAAACTCAATTTAAATGAAAAATGCAACCATAGATGTGAAAATTGTCATTGCCTATAGTACACTCATTAACTATGAAGTAGCTTTTGTTACGAGGATAACAAATACCAAACTACAGATTTCACACAAACAAAACAGTTTATGATTGCACAACAGAGCCAAACCGAATGACATTTTTTGTGGAAAATAATACTTTTCTCTTAACTCGACAGTGTGTTCAAGGTGTAATAGAGTTTAACTGACAATCGCCAAAATGAAAAAGCTGTATGGCCCTTCAATCACGAACATATTCTTAGTTCACATGAAACTCAATTTAAATGAAAAATGCAACCATAGATGTGAAAATTGTCATTGCCTATAGTACACTCATTAACTATGAAGTAGCTTTTGTTACGAGGATAACAAATACCAAACTACAGATTTCACACAAACAAAACAGTTTATGATTGCACAACAGAGCCAAACCGAATGACATTTTTTGTGGAAAATAATACTTTTCTCTTAACTCGACAGTGTGTTCAAGGTGTAATAGAGTTTAACTGACAATCGCCAAAATGAAAAAGCTGTATGGCCAGGCAAAGCATAAAATTGTAAACATTTACCAACCCGAGCTAAATTTGATTTACAATTTATATGGTCAAAAACAAAGGAAAAAATATATTGAGGTGAACAGTTCCATGTTTTGAAAATCGGAACAGTTATTAATGTGAACCAGATTCATGCTCAAAAGTTGAAATTAACTCAGAGGCCCTGATCATTTAGAGGCAATGAATAAGAAAAATGCACAATTACATAAATAGTGTAAGACACTAACTCTGAGTACGTACCCCCGAGGAAGGAATAAGGCTGCCATTAGTGTGTTTAACATTTACTTGCTTAGCAGCAACGTCCGAAATAGCCTCAATGGGTACAGTTCTTTCAAGATCTGGATAAGAAGCTGCAGAAAACCTCCAAAATGGAGCTGTCTCGCCCATCTTTTCCCTCCTCAATGCAATCTATAAGTGTCATTAATTTTAAAAGTTATATATAGAGATATACTTAAAACTATTAGCTACTACAAATTTGAGGGACAAGGAAAAATACTTTGAAGATATTTAACATTTTTAGACTAAAGAATAATAAGGGAGCCTCCTAAAATCATAGCACGCGTGGGCCTTTAGGAATACTTTGCCGGACTCCAAATACTATGTTATGGAATAATCCTCCCAACCCACGCCCATGCCACCACCCCCAATGCAGAAATTATCATCCATACAATAGCTAAAGTCAAGCTCAAACAAAAGTAAGAATCGTACTCGTATGTTTATCAGTTAATGGCTTAATGCACATAGCCAAATAAATGATGTTACCTTCCCAGTTCTTGCAAGTTCTTTAATACCAAACTTTTTGAGGTTTCTTAAGACAGCTGCCATTTTCCCAGGATCTCCAGTGACCTATATCAGCCAGAAGCAAGAATCTCTGAATTATAGCATAAGGTTACAAAATGATAGGATCCGAGATAAATGCACCAATCACGAACATGCACTAGAGGATGACGTTTAAGATAACTAGCTCCACAATTGTGAAATAATACAATCAGTAAAGAAACATGGAAAAGAATAAAATAAATCTTAACCTCGATAGTCAAAGTGTGTTCTGATATGTCCACAACGCTTGCCCTGAAGATGTCTACTAACCACATAATCTGAAAATCAAGTCCAAGCATAAAAACAACAGACATATCAGAAAAAATAAAAGAACAGCCAACCTGGAAAAGAAAAAAAAAATAAAAAAAAAAAAGGAAAGGAAAACTTCCACATACTTCGCCTTTAGTGTTAGAATCTGCATTCAACTTTATTAGCATTAGTTCACGTTCTACTTGGGCTTCTTTCGACAAATCTTCTACCTGACATATGAAAAGATGCCTCAATTTGACTAAACAAATAAAACCCTCACAATTTTCATTATTAAGCATCATCAACTACAGTCAAGTTGCTTCCCCGGCTGTGCTTTGTACACAGATAAATCCCATAACATAACATAAATTTCCGATAGTTAACCGAAAGATAACATAACATGAATTTTCTTGAAAACAACCAAAAGAGCTCTACATAATGAATGTATGATGGACTATATTATCGAATCGCATTATGAATTCACACGTAGAGACATACCTTTAAGACATTCACAAGCTTGTTGAGCTGTTCCACGACTTGTTGCAAAACCTTTTCTGTTCCAGACACAACTATGGTGAACAAAGCCTTGTCCTGATTCAGCCCAACAGCAAGGGACTCAATATTGTAGCCTCGACGAGCAAACACACCGGCTATTCTGTTTATTATACCACTTTCATCCCCAACAAATACTGAGATTGTATGACGCTTTGCCCTGAGATTTTATTTCAAATTCCGTGAATATTCTACCAACAACAATATCCCCAGATTAAAGTTGAATTCCTGGAAAATTAAATATATAACCTCAAACCAACAAACAGTTCTAAGAAAAAACAACATAATAAAGTACAGATATTCTTTCCATCAGAGAAGCACGATCTTGTTTAAATATTAATCCACCAAATGCCAAAATCAATAATCCAAGCCAATCACTACAAAACAGAGAAATCTTTTAAGAAATTTAAAAAAAGGAAAACAATCATACTACTAAAATAAACCCCACTTGGGGTTACAAAACAAGCGAATCTTACTATTCAAACACCTGATTGAATAAATAAAATCAATAAACAGTACGCCACCAACCAATTTTCAGGATTAAAACAAAATTTAGTAATAAATCATTTTATCCATGCACAATAAAATCACACACAGACGCGCGCGAAATGTATGTACCGAGTGGTAGCAGGGGGAGGCGGCGGAGAAGGAGAAGAGCTCCGAGTGACGGAAACAGCACCGCCATTTTCCGAGCTTCCGCCATTAACAGCTGCATTGGCTAACAGTAATTGCTTGTGGTTCCTGAAATTAATGCCCCCAAATTGAACTCTACTGCTTAATTTGCTGAAATGTAGTCGGTTTTTCTTCTTCTCTACGCCGGTGATTGGGCACTGTGACACCGCCGCCGCCGCCGCCGCCGCCGCCGCCATCTCTCTCTCTCTCTCTAGATTCTAGGTTCCAAACACAGGGATAGAGAAAAACTGTAGTTAAGCTGGCTAGCTAATGCTAACAGTCGCCCAATATGGCATAATCTATTGAACAACTAAATCTGGAAATAATATATAATAATAATAATAATATCATAATTTTTATATAAATAATTAATTATATTTACAAAAGTATCATATTGTTATATTAGTTAATTAAGAAGACTTTTAAAATGATTTGCATATTATAAAATAAGATAAAAATCATATTTTAAAACATCCTATAAATGAAAATAGTAATTATAGATTTTGGTACTAAAATTTTGAAATAATTAGTATCTCACCCATGAGATGCACGTATGTCAAATTCTTTATAATTTGTATATTGAAACAATTTTTTAATAATTAAAATAAAATAAGTATTTTAAATAATTAAAGAGGACAAAATGGAACTTAGATAAAAAGAGTAAACTGCAAATACTACCCATGTGTTATCTCGAAATAGCGGAAACCCCCTGTGATAAATAAACTAGTAAAAACCCCCCTGTGAAATTTAGTCAAAGGCAGAATCCCCCTAGCTGATTTTTTAGACTTGAAATGACAAAATTGTCCCTCAAAATGTATTATATGTATACATATTATATGTATATTTATTTTTTTTAATTTGTTTGTTTAGAAATTAAAAAAAATAGTAAACAACTAAATTGATTATTTTTTAAATAAAATATTTATAAAATATAAGAATTTATTAATTGCAAGACTCCATGGGTATTTGTGTCTTTTTATATCAAGTCAACCCTCAAATAGTTCCATAGGGGGTTTTTGCTATTTAAATAATTTCACAGGGGAGGTTTTTGCTAGTTTATTTATCACAGGGGGTTTTTTGCTATTTCGAGATTATACAAGGATAGTTTGTGCAGTTTACTCTATATAAAAATATAACAAGAGCGTAAATTTTTATACAACTTTCAATTATTTACATAGGTGTAATTATATTTTGCTCTCGAGGCTCTACTATACTGCAATTATATTTTGCTCTCGAGGGTGTACTATACGACTTATTTTAAGATAGGTAAATGTAATGTCATGTACTTTTTTGTCATATAGCGATAATCATACATTTTATTTCAAAACACTTGAACAAACTTATAAAAATTAAAAGTAGCTTATAAGTTATATATCCAAACACCTTAAAAAATAACTTTTAAAATAATATCTAACAACTTATCAATTCCTACAACATCTTATCAGATATACGAACTTATAAAATGTTTTAGATAAGCTTAGACAAACGGGCTCTAAATCTAGTTTTACGAACATTCAATAATAAAGTAGAAATACAAAAAAAAATGTCGATTTTAATTTTTATTATTATTATTATTTTTTACCACCGGCTTATGTCAAAATATGTTTTTGCACATATGTTTGTGAAACATTAATATATTTTTGGCAATATTTTCATAGTATAATAACCATATATTCAAGGTTAGTTAGTTGTTGGAAGAGGAGGTACACTTGTGGGTGAGATTAACATTGTTGAAGCTCAAAGGGTCTCCCACTTGGAGTTGATATTTTAAAGGCTGACCCGGAGGGGCGGCTACACTCTACAGTAGAGTCTAGACCCGGTTTATTTTTCAATTGGGTAATTAATGGGGCATCCATATTATTTCAAAAAAGGGCAAATTACACCTACACTCCTGAGCTACGGTAAAATAATTTTAAGGTCCATGTAGTATCGGAAATTACAAACAACCCTAAAAAATAATGCATTGGATAAATTATTCCGTTAGAGTTGTTACGGACTATTAGTTTCAGTAAGTGGCAAAAACAACATAGAACTAGGGGGTGACGTGGCTCTCCTAATATTTCTTAAAACCCTTATTATTTTATATAAGATTTATAATTTTCCGTATATAATAGCATTAGCGGCTCCACGGAAAACAAATATATTGCATATCGACCCACATGACATAAAATCTTGCTCTAGTAATTATTCCATGGGTGTGGCTTTAATTATACAACATAAACTTTAAAGTTATTTTAACATACATCGGGGATTAATGCGTAATTTACCCTTATTCCAATTAGTACATTTGTATTAGCTTGAATTGTTAAAAAAACTCACATGTTATTTTATTGGCCAAAAAATTCCCTATGAGTTAGCACACAACCCCTAAACAAGCATGGGTACTAATTGCAAAAAACAAAAAATCATAGGGGGGGTTTTGCAAGTAAAAATTACATGGGGTGATTTTTTAACAATTCATATAACTCAAGGGATACTAATTGCAATAACGCATCCACACAACACAACTTAGCAAAACAACATTCTTCATATTTCACTAAAAAATCTTCAAAAAATTAAAGAACTAATATATATAAGTAAAATATAGTTTTATATATATATATTGTCCCATTAATTATATTACTTGGGTTCAACTTTACCTTGAAGTGTATACCCACCACTATAATCAAAAGCACCATTAATATTATAAGGATGTGATCTAATTGCACCTTTATTACACAAACCAGCTCCGAATTCAAGAGTTGCAGACGAAGATGCTGACGTGGAGGCTGACATATTCATGCCGTCATTCTGCAATATAGCTTCGAGGGACTTGACAACTTCACTCATCATCGGACGATCCGAAGCCGAATCTTCAACACATTGTATTGCCAGCTCAACAAACCTTAAGAATCCGATGAGGTCATGACTTGGTGTGTTTCTTATGGTGGGGTCCATCATTTCCCTTAATCCATAGTATCTGTCCTCGTTTCTGTCGAATGCTATTTTCACTTCGCGAACAATGTATTTTCCCTTCTCGATGGGTTGTTTGGCTGTGATGAGCTCGAGCATTACTACGCCGAAGCTGTATACGTCGCTCTTTTCTGTTAGTTGTTGTGTCATGTAGTACTCCGGATCTAAATAGCCCTGAAAATAATTCAAATTTTCGAGATAAAATATGAAAGGTTACAAACGAGGCAATGACTATAGAGTACTAGATGTGGATATTGAACGAATCGGATGAGAATTAGCATATTTTGGGAAAAGTTTGAGTTTTTTGGAAGTAAGAAACTAATCAAATGTAAAACAGAATTTCTTTGACAAAATTAGAAATTGGAATGGAATCTTTTTATTTTTTCAACTTGTTAATTTTCGGATCAGAATCATTAAAATTGAGAAACTTTATTCAGATACACAATTTTATTAATGTTATAAATGTAATTTTTCGAGAACAGAATTTCAAAAACAATAGAATTACTTTCAGAAATTAAGATTGGGTCGAGAATCAGAATTTCATATATCACTTTAATTTTGACGGAAAATATCGGAACATAGAAATTTTAGAAATCGAAAAAAATAACTATCATTCTAAACTTAGAAACTTTGAACTGGAGGATGGAAAATTTCATAAATATTTCCAATTCTGATCCAAAAAAATTGAAAAAAAAAATCGAAAATCAAAATTTTAGAAATCGAATGAAAAAATCGTTCTAAATTAGAAACTTTCTAATCAAAGTTGATGGAATTCGAAAAATTCGTCCCGATTTACACCCCTACTGCATAGGCTGTGATCGCTTACCAGAGTGCCTTTTACTTGAGTGGAAACATGCCCTTTAGAACTGTCTGAAACAAGCTTAGACAATCCAAAATCAGCCACCTTAGCCGTGAGATTCTCATCCAACAGTATATTCGTCGATTTGATGTCCCTATGAATTATAGGTGGGTCCGCCAGTTCGTGTAGATACGCTATTCCTCTAGCGGACCCCAACGCGATCCTTATCCTTCTCTTCCAGTCCAGATTTATTCCACTCCTTCCTGTCAGTCACAATACATATCACAATACGCATATTATCATCCAACAATATATATTAGCATGCATTGTTTGTTTCTGCTGATGTTTGCTTTTTTGGGATGATTTTAATGTGAAATGTGAGATTAATTAGATTACCTGATAAACTTTCTCTGAGTGTTCCATTAGCCATGAACTCATATACCAGCATTTGTTCACCTTGTTCGAAGCAGAACCCTACAAGGCCAACGAGGTTCTTGTGATGAACCCTCGAGAGCAACTCGATTTCGTTTTTGAACTCGAGCCCGCCTTGATTGGAACCTTGTTGAGCCCTTTTTATTGCCACTGTTTGTCCACTTGACACAACCCCTCTATACACCTGAAATCAAGAAATACAAAAACATGCAAGTATACAAAGATGAGTGTGTGGGTGTGCGTGTATATATATATATATATATATATATATATATATATATATATATATATATATATATATATATATATATATATATATATATATATATATACCATGAGCGCGTGTGTGCAGTGTGTGTGTGTGTATTTCAATGGCTTAAGCAACAAACCTTGCCATAGCCACCCGAGCCAAGCTGATTGGTATGAGAGAAGTTATTAGTGCATTTCTTGAGCTCATCATAAGAGAACCATCTTGCTCCTTTTAGCTGTGGGGCCCCTCCACTGTCCTTCCCACTCGGGCCCCAAGATGCTGCCACAAGAATCAAATCAAGAATTCGACTATCAAATATTCCCGTTTAATATCCAATTTCTTCAAAAAAAAAAAAAGGATAAACTATTTTACCCCTCATTTTCACGGGTAAAAACTCACCAAACGGCTTGCTCAGTGAAATAGCTTCTTCCGCGCGCCGTTTCTGCCTAATAGCGTAAGCCCCTAATCCCGCTAGCACCACCACCACCAATGCACATCCACTCGTTATTCCGGCAATCACCCCTCTGCTGATCTGGCCACCCCCATTTTCGCCTGAAAATTTTCCGGTACTACATTCTCTTAGTTACAAAACTACATGTCGAAATGTAACTACTAAAAGTTACCACATATCTTATCACCAAGTTTATTGCATTCAACACCCCTAATTATATCGAATTGCCAAAAAACTCCCCTATGATTCATTTTTTTTAGGGGTAGTTTGCTAAAAAGAATTTCATCATGGATGAATCATGAATGCAATAAAACAAACCCTAAATTGTTACCTCCGAAAACGTAAGGCGAAGCGATGAAATAATAAGGCCCAAACTCTTTCGGAGGCTTGTAAGTTTGATTACTCAGCGAAAATCCGATCCTCTGAACATCCGATCTGTTGAAGAACTTTTGATTCGAGGGGAAAAGCCCTAGCTGCAATTGGAGATAATCGTCGACATTGAAGAACGGATTCTGCAGAGAAACGCTGCCGGGAGAAAGCCCTAATTTCACCCAAAGGCTCATTTCTAACGAATGGAACAAACTTGCGTTCGACAAATCTCTGAACGAGGGTGCACGGAAGTACAGTGTGCCTTCGTACGGGTAAGCGCAGCCGCAGCTCTGCGGGTCGAGTTTCTGATCGGCGGTGCATATTTGGCCGCCGCAGTTTGCGAAGCTGGTGGAGTAAGGCTTCGCCGATTGCTGGATTTGACAGTAGACTGTGTTTTCTAATGAAGCCGAGCACACCGGATTTCCAATTAATCTGTAAAAGGCCTCATATTTTTTAGTATATTGCAATTTGTACCACTAAATTTATTGCAAACTATAGAAAAGTCCCTATGTTAAACAAAACTAGCAAAAATCCCTCTGTTTTATGGTTTTTTAGAAGCACACTAAACTCAATTCAGATTTTTCTCTTGGACCAATCATAAAAAGACATAAACACCCCCCAAAAGATTGCAATTAAAGAAATATACATTTTTTTAGGGTAAATTACGAAAACCCCTCTGAACTAAGGCTAAATAACGAAAAACACCCCACCTGTCCGTCTGAGTTTTTTAACAGAAAATGTGTACAGTCTATTATACTTTTATTAAATAGGTGAGAAATAAAAGAAAATATCTGAAATTGCGTAAAGTCTATTCCCTGTAATAAAAAAAATTCCGTGAAAAGTTACACTGGAAGAGGTTGGTGTAAGACGGAAACAAACCTCAGGGGTTTTTTGGTAATTACGAATAGGTGGGAGTGTTTTTCGTTATTTAACCTAAGTTCAGGGGGTTTTAGTAATTTACCCATGTTTTTTTAATTATCATATAATGTCTGCATATATATGTTTCTATAAGATATCTTCTTGATCAAATAATTCTTACAGTAAAGTGCTTTTGTATTGCGAGCCGATCGTTAGTGACGAAATGTCGTTGTTCTGCAAATCGACGAGTTGGAGTTGTTGGCTGATGTTGACACTCATGTCTAATTTCTCAGTAAATGCATTGTTCTTCAGTTTTCTGTACAAGAATGTATAGAATTAATACACTCGAAATCAGAAATTTAAATGATCCTTTATTTATTTATTTATTTATTTAATTTGAATTTAACAATGCCAAAAAAATAATGTTACTACACATAGATAGATAGATACAACTTACACTTGCTGAATCTGAGGTAAACTGAAAATTTCGGGTGGGACCGATCCTTCCAACGGTCCGTATTCGATCATTCTATAAGCACACACAAAAAAAGAAGAAAAAAAACATGTTTAAATTAACGTTTATTTATTTTTTCCGTCGGTAATTTATTGAATACTCACAATGTAGTAAGTGAAGTTAAAGTCGAAAACCAGTGAGGTGATTCGGATTTCTTGAAAGAGTTGTTGCTCAAATCCCTGCGAAAAAACGACAAATGCGTGTGATGAACTCGAGAGTTGTTTCTTCACTAAATTATGAGTTTAGTTTAATTTAATTTATTTATTTATTTTGCTAGCAAAAAAATGTGTAATTCTTACAGATAATTGAGGGAGTTCATTCCAGTTAGGTTTGGTAATGCACCAGACAGCATATTATGAGCCAAATTCCTACATAAAAATATTAAAAATAAATAAATAAATAAATAATAATAATAATAATAATAATAATAATTATAATAATAATAATTATAATAATTAATAATAATAATAATAATAATAATAATAATTAATAATAATAATAATAATAATAATAATAATAATAATAATAATAATAATAATAATAATAATAATAATAATAATAATAATAATAATAATAATAATAATAATAATAATAATAATAATAATAATAATAATAATAATAATAATAATAATAATAATAATAATAATAATAATAATAATAATAGACAAAAAAAAAGGCTATATATAGTGAATTTTCTTGAAAAGATATATACTCACAATTCTATGATGTTAGTGAGATTGTTGAGGTTTGATGGAACACTTTCTTTCAGTGAATTTCGATCAAGCCGACTGAATACATGCATCGGAAAAATAAAAAAAGAAAAGAAAAAAACGACGTTAAATTATTCGTTTGGGAAAATACAAAATAAAATCGAGATGAAGTTGTAAGATGATGAGTTTACTCACAGAACCTCAAGTGTCTGTACAAGTTCAACTGTAGAGGGAATGCTGCCCTCGAAGTTATTACCGTCAAATAGTCTGCCGAATAATTTAAAAAATAGGAATTAAACGAAGAAAAATCGAGAACGGAATTATCATTGACCAAATCGAAGAACATGTTTGTTTTTGGCGTTGACTTACACATGTATCAGTGACATGTCCGAGTTGAAAAGCTGGCTCGGAATCTCGCCCGAAAGCTGGTTTTTGTTGAAATGGCTGCACACCGAAAAAATCGAAATTATATATAAATTAAGCTTTTATATTCATTAAAGAATGCATTATTAGTATTTGTATATAAAAAAAAAAAATCGAGTTCCGTCTATTGTGATTCAATAGTTTCTAACTTTCGGAAAATCGAGAATGTTACTTCTGATCTGATCTGTCGATTTGCAAATAAAATAAAATAACTCACAAGTGTTTGGCCTTTTTAAGTTGGTCTAATCCGGGACCGAAAGCCGATGAAACGGGTATTTGACCGGTCAACTGATTTTCCGCAAGATCGAGCCAATACAGCTTCGGAAGTCTACCCAGAGATGCCGGTATTTCGCCACTTAAGTTATTCGAATTCAGGGCTCTGTCGTCGATTCACATTTCACGTATAAATATAAACACGAATTCATCGAATAAAAAATAAATATTATTATTGCCGTAAAATATATATAAGTAAGTTCTTACAGAAAAGTTAGCTCCGTAAGATTTCCGAGTTCACTTGGTATGCTGTTAGTAAAACTACATCCAGCAAGAATTCTGCAAACAACATATGCCAAAACAAACTTATGTTAGCTATTTATTCGGAAATTTACAGTTTTCATCCCAAGTTTGCAACAATTCCACATTTGATCCCCATGTTCCAAAAAAACACATTTGGTCCCTCGTGTTTCAATAATTTGACACTATTGGTCATTTCGTCAATTTACCGTTAGTACGTCAGTTAAGGTAGTGATGCGAACACGTTTGATTATGTTAGTTTTTAACGTAAAATTGACGGAAAGGGACTAAAAACGTTGAATATTTAAAACATGAGGGGCCAAATGTGAAATCAGTGCATACTTGAGGGATTTTTCCGCTATTTATTTTTTCGAACTTTACGATGAATTTCTATTAAATTTTTCTTACAATATGGTCAGTTTATGCAGATCTCCAAGCCTAGGAGACAACGAACCGCTGAGGCCACGATTGAACGACAAATCTCTGAAGAAAAAAAATATATATAGAAATTTATTTATGTTCGTATAGCTTGTAATCTTGAAAGGTGAAGAACTTACAACGAGATTAACTCGGTTAGGCCTCCAATGTCACCGCTCATTTTACCGGTTAATCCCATTGTCGATAAGCCGCTGCACACAAAAAAATCAATGATGTTTCGTATATTTAATTAAAAAAAAAAAGTTTATGTATGAATAATGGGATTTGATATGCTTACAGAGAAGTGACTCTTGATTTGTCACAGGCAACACCTTCCCAATCTGAACAAGGATCGTCGGATTTATCCCAACTAGGGGGCGTGCTCCCCCACTGGTCTTTTAGTGATCGGAGCACAGCGGCTGAATCAAAAAGACGAACAATTTTTATTTTTTTTACGTTTATTAGTCAGAAGAATTTTTACGCAATAAATTAACTGCAACAAATTAAGTCCCTAATTAGAATGGGATGCAATGCAACATACATACATACATACATACATATACATATATATAATACATATACACACGAACACACACGGAGAAACGCACACACGAGTACACATTCTTGAAAATGTTCACTAGGCCAAAACACAGTTCTGGCGACGTTTTCTACCACATTAGTCGCAAAAGTATAAATCCCGCCTTTGCATCAAAACCTTCGCGACGAAACGGAAATATCGTCGCTAAGCTGCGACGGAAGTAGTAAAGACTGAATATTTACCATCTTGTGGATTGGTCGTAGCATCACTAACATATATCCATCGACAGAAAACCAGCAGAGACAAGACGAACAGCCGCCGCATAGCTGATTCTCTCTCTCTCTCTCTCTCTCTCTCTCTCTCTCTCTCTCTCTCTCTCTCTCTCTCTCTCTCTCTCTCTCTCTCAGAACAGGTCACTTGTCAAGGGAGATAACTAAAAATCTCAGATAGATATTACCATCATCCCAGATTAGCAATCATTGTTTGGCACAGAATTTAACCACCACTATTGCTACACTACACAGAGAAATTACACCAAGAAAATATATATAATGTAAAATAAATAAATAAAAATAGAAAGAGGTGGGTAGAATAGTAATTAAAGTGCAGAAAAAAAAAAAAGGAAAAGGTTGAAAAAATGAGTTTGCTACTAGAAATGATTAAACTTGCCTTAGAAGACAAGAGCCCACTTTTCTTGTCTGAAAAAAAAAAAATCAACTGCTTTAAATAATTAATTGTTTAGCACTCTACAATTATGACAGTATGAACATAGTAACTAATTATTATTTTTTATTTTTTTTAATTATTACTATTATTATTTTTATAATTTTTATTATTTAGTTACTAATTATGATATCTTGGGCATGCAGTTGTTAATTAATTAGTCTGTGTTTTACAGTTTCCTCTGCTCCCCAGTCCCCACTCCAAGTAATGTATGTGAAAAAGAAATTAGGGTAAATTATGAAAATCCCCTGAAATTAGGTTAAATTACAAAAAACAACACCATCAATCTGTAATTATCAAAATTACCCTAATGTTTGTTACCGTCCTACACCAACTCCTTGATGGTGTGATTTTTCAAGTAATCTTTTTTATTACAGGTAATATTTCTCAAAAAATGCCAATTTTACCCCTGCATACGTGACATTTCTTTATGTTACTTTTTAAAGACAAAAACTACCCTCAGAAGAGTAATACTAAAAAATTGTAAAAGTGTTATTTAAGAACAATAAAAATCTCGTGTGAGATTAATTATTGCCTCAAAAAATTAATATAAAGAAATTTCACGTCTGCAGGGGTAGAATCGACATTTTTCGAGAAAAAAAATCCTGGAATTAAAAGAACACCGTGAAAAATCACACCATAATTGCGTTCAAAATGAAAATATAATAAAATCTAGTGGAAAATGAAAATATAAAATAAAATCTAGTGGAAAATGAAAATGCAAATATGAATATTATGTGTTGGGCCAGAGATATAAATAAAGCCCATATAATAGTAATGAAAAAACCTGTTCGCCGCCGTAGCAGGCGGAGCCGCCGCCGTCAAGGGCTTCGCCGGTAGTATGCCATGATTGATTTGATACCCTACTACTGTATAAGGATAATGCGCCATGGCCGGAGAGGAAAAACAATGGCTCTTTTCCACCATTCCGCCTCTTTTCTCCGACGACCCCTTTCCCCAAAATCTAGGTTTACAACAGCAGCAAAATCGACAAACGGCGCCGTATCGGGAACTGCATCGGAGCTCGGTAACCTGCTAATAGTTGCCGCCATAGCTAAAACTCTGTCGAATCCCGGCGGAATCCACTCTCTGGAGAAGGACGCCGACTCGATTCCCTTGTCGGAGAATCTCGTCCTCCAAGTTCTCCGCCGCGGCTCCCTCGACGCCGCCAGGAAGTTGGATTTCTTCCGATGGTGCTCTCTCAGGCCAAACTTCAAACACTCGGCAGGCACCTACCATCAGATGTTCAAATCCATCTGCATCTCCCCTCGCCACCACCACAGCGACATTCTCGAACTCGTCGCCTCGATGGCGAGCGGCGGCGATGCGGCGGCGCTCGATTCGCCGACTCTTAAACTGATTCTCAACAGCTTCATCAGATCCGGCAAGTATGATTCGGCTCTGGAAGTTTTGGACTGTGTGGAAAGAGATTTGATTCAAACAACCTCACTCAGCCCTGATATATACAGCCCTGTCATTGTAGCTCTCATAAGAAAGAATCAAATCTCCATAGCTTTATCCATTTTCCTCAAGTTATTGGACTCTTCTTCCTCCGAAATCCCGGATGCTATCGCCTGTAATGAATTACTCGTCGCTCTCAAGAAATCCGACATGAAAGACGAATTCAAACAAGTCTTCGCCAAACTCCGAAAAACGAAGCTTTACCCACTCGATAGATGTGGTTACAACATATGCATCCACACGCTAGGATGTTGGGGTGACTTGTCTACTTCTTTAAACCTCTTCAAAGAAATGAAGCGGGAAACAAACATCCGTTTAAATCCCGATTTGTGTACGTACAACAGCCTAATACATGTTCTTTGCTTGCTTGGCAAAGTTAAAGATGCCCTCATTGTATGGGAGGAGCTTAAAGCTTCGTCAGGCCACGAGCCCGATGCATTCACATACCGAATTCTCATACAGGGGTGTTGTAAATCTTACCGAATAAACGAGGCAGTGAAAATCTTCAGCGAGATGCAGTACAACGGTATAAAAACCGAAACGGTTGTTTACAACTCACTTCTTGACGGATTACTGAAATCAAGAAAGCTGGTCGAAGCGTGCAATCTTTTTGAGAAAATGGCGGATGATGATGGTGCGAGAGCCACGTGCTGGACTTATAATATTCTCATAGACGGGTTGTACAAAAACGGGAGGGCTGAAGCTGCGTATACTATGTTTTGTGACTTGAAGAGAAAAGGCAACAACTTTATCGACGGTGTTTCCTACAGCATTGTAGTATTGCAGCTTTGTAGGGAAGATCAGCTCGAAGAAGCGGTGCGATTGGTGGAGGAAATGGAGGCTCGTGGATTTGTGGTCGATTTGGTTACGATTACTTCACTTTTGAGTGCACTTTACAGGCGGGGCCAGTGGGATTCGACCGAAGGGCTGATGAAGTATATTAGAGATAGGAATTTGGTTTCTTCCCTTCTCAAGTGGAAGTCATCAATGGAAGCTTCATTGAGAAGCCCACAGAGCAAAAAACGGGACTTCACTCCATTTTTCCCCCCAATTAGCAATATTGCCGAGATTTTGAATCTTGCGAAATCCTCCGAAACCCACTGTGAAGGTGTGGAGGTTGAAAAGGACGAGTGGTCATCCTCGCCGTACATGGATGAGCTGGCGAATAAGTTCGTCTCTCGTGATACTCCTTCGCAATCTTTTTCGATGTCTAGAGGGGTAAGAGTTATGGCTAAAGGCGAAGATTCATTCGATATAGACATGGTAAATACCTATTTATCAATTTTCTTGGCTAAGGGGAAGCTTAGTTTGGCGTGTAAGCTATTCGAGATTTTCACAGACATGGGCGTGGACCCCACGAGCTACACTTACAACTCGATCATGAGCTCGTTCGTGAAAAAGGGCTACTTCAAGGAGGCTTGGGGGGTCCTACACGCGATGGGTGAAACGGTAAATCCGACGGATGTAGCTACTTACAACGTGATCATCCAAGGGCTAGGGAAAATGGGTAGGGCCGATCTTGCGAATTCGGTTCTCGAGAAATTGAGGGAAGAAGGCGGATATTTGGATATTGTGATGTACAATACGTTGATCAACGCGCTTGGGAAAGATGGGAGGTTGGATGAGGCGAACGAGCTTTTTGGGCAAATGAAAAGTAGTGGAATAAACCCCGATGTGGTGACTTATAATACGCTCATTGAGGTGCATAGTAAGGCCGGACGGTTAAAGGATGCTTACAAGTTTTTGAGGAAGATGTTGGATGATGGGTGTGCGCCGAATCATGTGACCGATACGGTTCTTGATTATCTCGAGAAGGAGATTGAGAAAGTTAGGTACAAGAAGGCTTCTATGATGAGATGTAATAAAGATGATCCTTCTTCTTCTTAGGTTTTTGTCTTTTACACTCGGATGAAGTGCTTTGTCTTATTGAGTTGTGTTATGTGTATGAAAATCGTGTGATATAAGTACAAACGAAGGTCGAAACGGTCATGACTTTGAATTAAATGTTTAAGCTAATCGAGTGATGGAGAAAAATGAACCTGACTCCGCTGATATGAACTGCAATTGATTTATACACGAATATTTACTTTACAAACTTCGACCTCATACATATTTCCATCGAGCTGAGATTTCACACATGAACCGAGTCGAACAAATCCCCAAGTTCAAAAAACTGAGCTGCCCTTCGAAATTCATTTTCCGTACCTACAAAATCATACTCTGTTTTTTTTCCCCGAAATCTTTTAAGACTGCAAACAATGCTCTGATGATGACTCGTTATTCCACTTAAAATCTCCACAGGCTGTAAGAACAGTCGAGAGGATGTAATCATCTACCCCAATTCCCTCAGCTTGCATTCGATACACGAGCTTCAAAGCCTCGCCACACTGCCCGTTTTTCGCATAAGCTACAATCATCGCCTTCCAAGAAACCAAGTTTCTCTCGGGCATACTCTCAAACACTTGAGCTGCCTCCGAAAGATGCCCACACTTTGAATACATATGAACCAAAGCACTGCCTACAAACACGTTCGACAATGCAGGGCTCTTATTTATGGAGGAATGGATGAGTTTACCTTGGTTTATATTTTCCAGTTTCGCACATGCTTTCAGTACTGAAGAATAAGTAAAAGGGTTCGGTTCTACACCTTTACTCAACATCTCCTTTAAATACTCAAGAGCCTCATACTCGTGACCTAGCCGAGCACAACCAGAAATCATCGCAGTCCATGAAACCACATCTTTATCAGGCAAATACTCGAGCACCTTAGATGCAGAAACGTAATCTCCGCATTTACAATAAAGCCAAACAAGTGCACTTCCCACGAAAATATTGCTTGGTGAAAAATTCTTGAAGATTTGCGCATGCACTTCTTTACCTGTCGACACTGACCTAATCAAACCACAGGCTCTGAGTATGCTAACCATGGTTAAGCTGTTGGCAAACATTTTTAATCTTTTCATCGTGCGGAAGAGACTTATGGCCTCTCCTCCGAGGCCATTTCTAGCGTACCCTGCTATAATAGTGCTCCAAGTGATCGCATTTTTTCTTCTCATTCCATCAAAAATTGTTCTCGATTTCTCGATTTTCCCACATTTAGCATACAAATCCACCAATGAAGTTGCAACATAAACATCCAAATCGTACGCCTTCTTGATAACAATGTTGTGTAGTTGTTCACCGAATATTAGTTCTTTCTCTTCCCCACAAGCATTCAACACGCTGCAAACGGTAAATTCGTTCGGGTCAACTCCATCGTACAACATTTGTGACAGCATGGCAAATGTGTCGTACCCCCGTCCGTGTTGTGAACAAGCTGTAATCATGGTTGTCCAAGCAATCACATCCCTTTCTTGCATTCTGTCAAACACTTCATAAGCGCTGTCCAAATCACCACATCGGGAATAGAATTGCAAAATAGTACAATCTAGTATTAAATTACTCAACCGACTCTTTATTACACAAGCATGCAGTTGCCTTCCAAGCTCGTTATCAAAGCTCCTGCCGCACAAATTCAAAACACAAGCATACGTCTGTACATTCCCACGGAAACCATTGTTAACAAACTCAATGAACAACCTCAAAGCTTCGTAATCTATACCATGCCTATGGTAGCCATTAAGCATTGCAGTCCAGGAAACAACGTTTCTCTCAGACATATCATCAAACACCTTACGCGCCGCCGCCAGATCTCCGAATTTCACATACATACTAATCAAGTTATTGTCGACAAACACTAACGGATCTTTCAACCGCTTAACAACAACAGCGTGCACTTCCCTAATCTCGCGAACGTTAGAACAACGTTGAAGCCAATTGCCAACTGTGGTGGAGTTTATCGGCTGATCGGCCGTACTATTACTATTACTATTACAATTACTATTACGTAAAAGCTCGTTTTTGCTACCATGAGATGCCGATACAGAGCGACACTGATTCGGAAAAGGGACGTTGTATGGGGAGATATACGATAGTAAGAACATCGAAAAAGTTTTTTGTTGTTTGATTCCACAAAGATACTGAGGTATATATACACTCTGCCCCTTCCTACAACCGAAATGAAAAGCATATCAAAACAAGATAAGATTAAAAAAAAAATCTCTGAAACTATACAACACTTATAATGACTTGTTGAACTGAATTTCTTATCGTGATAATTCAAATTGAACAGCAACCAATCCCAATCCTAAACCACGCACAAGGATTAAAATATCTGCAACTGTGTAAAATTTATAACACAAATACACAGACACACACATACATACATACATACATACATACATACATATTAAGTATATATATGGAAAGAAGGAGGGAGAGAGAGATTTGGAGAGAGAACCTGGTGCTGCTCGAGAGGTTGAGCTAGAGAGAGAAAACGAAATGAGAGAGAGAGACCGCGGGAGTGGGAATAGAAGCTTCATTTGTGTTTCAGATATTTTATTTAGTCCAAATTGGGTCAACCACAAGTAAATCGGGTCGGGTCGGGTCGAATAAACCCATTAAATCGGATTCGGATTAAATGCGGATGTGGATCCGGATTTGGAAACCTCGCTTAATTGTACTTTTGGTCCATATATTTGACAACTAAAATGAATTTAGTCCTCAAAATTTCACCACCATGAATTAGTCATCAAACTTGCCATTTTTTGATAATTTTTTGTTCGGCCGTCAAGTTTTATCGGTTAACTTCGATGGAATCGTCACGCAACGTCCATTTGGCAATCAAAATCGAGATGGAACACCTCATTCTCTTCCCTTGTTTATCTCACGCAAATTCCCAAAATTTCTTTCATTGAAACCCTAGAATACCGATGTTCTTTCTTATGTCATCAAGTCGCCCACCAGATTTCTCTCTCAATCTCATATAAAATTCAAAGTCTTGCATCACTTAATATGTGCGATTAAAGGTGAAGTGTGAATCCTTGCATTACGCAATTTTAGGACAAAAAAAAAAATTTGCGGAGTAGGGTTTACGTTCAAATGGAATTTATGGAATTAAGAATTTTGGGATATAAATAGAGGAAGAGAATGAGATATCACTACACCTCATGTTTAACTGCCAAACAGACATCACATACGAAGACGCATGTGACGATTCCATCCGAGTTAATCGTAATGTAAAAATGGGAGTTAATATTATATATTTGTTAAAATCGGAGTGCAATATTTGCTATTGGGACATTTTGGATGAAATTGATGTGAATTATATTGTGAGGGTATTTTGGGCAAGAGACAAGAGAAAAGTTTTTTTTAGAACTGATTTTAATCTGACTAGAAGTGTAAATAAATCCTCCTACTTTAAGTTATATGCATTTCGCCCTTCCTTATGCTACATCACAATCCTCTAATCAAATACTCAAATCTTGGATCTATATATAACCTTCCTCACTTGTATTACTACTATCGGGGAGTTAGATGCTACACCTGATTATTTATATCGGGTGGATTTGAATCGTAGATTTGATTAAGTAACTACCCACTAACCACACATACACATGAGTATGTATGTGTGATTATGTGTAGATCTACAGTTCAAATTCACCCGACGTAAATAAACAGGTGTAGCATCTAATTTCCTCGTTATGTGCATGACCAAACCACAAATACTAAAAATTGGATAGTAGAGAAAAGTTTCACATCTGAAAAACCAATCAGCCGAAAGAGATCTTAAATCGAATCCATATTTCGTGTAACAATAAGGCTCCAACAACACAGGGACACAAAGAATAAGGTTACGAAGAAAACTAAATCACAAAAACAAATTGCGCGAAAAAAACACACGGAGAGAACGAAATTGCATGTAAATGAGCAAATCCTCACACGATCAACAAACTTATATACATACATCTTCATCTTGATAGATAGATAGATAGATACAACTTTTTTAGTCCCTTCCCACACCAAGAAGCCACTGTGCTAGATGAGTCAAGTACGGCTCTGCACGAGAACTGCTGCTCAATATCGGTCCTAGACTCTCTAGCTCACCAGAAAATTCCCTCTCAAATTTCCTGCACATCGTATATGTCAGTGTGTGTGTGTGTGTGTGTGTGTGTGTGTGTGTGTGTGTGTGTGTGTGTGTGTGTGTGTGAGAGAGAGAGAGAGAGAGAGAGAGAGAGAGAGTTGAACATACAGAATAGATTCAATAACTTGTGCATTTTCTGAGGTTACTTTCAGTTTCTGAGATGGGGTCCTTAATTTCAGCTGTTTGTATTTTTCCAAATTGGGGCTGTCACTATTTGTAGTGTCACTTGAATAACTAATCAACCATTGAGCTGCCGCTGCATACTGAAGGCATATCGATTTCATCTTCTCCAGCTTCTGTACTCAACAAAATTCATCATTCAATAACATGATTTGTCGACAAAAACGAAAAATGTTCAACAATAAAACTCCCAAATCGCATAATATGAGATTTTTAGAGTACTTATCCAAAAGGTAATAAAATACGAGTGATGGTTGAGACGAATATACCTTGAGAAGAACAGGTGAAAGAAGCAAACATTCCCTCAAACACTTCTCGAGAAAAAAATCGTGGTGTTGTATAACCTGCATCGTGGAGTTAGTGGAGATGGAAATTTACTAATAGCAATCTATAGTAAGGGTGTGTTACTTGATATTATTACGATGAACAGAATTTCATCCTACCTCGTCAATACTCTTTGCAGTCTGAAGTCTACTATGCATGACATGCCAATTCGGCTCAAGAACCTGAAAGTGATCGTAAATATAATTGAAGAAAAAGTTAGCAACACAGTTGTCCCATAACAGATTAGGGAGCGTAAAAAAATTAGGTAATTACTAAATAATTTTAACAATGCACTTCTAAATAGAAATAAGGGAGACCTGCCTCGAATGTCAAATAATGTAGAAGGCTATTGATAAATTTAAGCATATCTCGACACAGCAAAGATGAGACAGAAATAGCTATCCCTTGCATATCAACTCGGCGAAGACCCTACAATACACAATCTTAGATAAAAATCGGTGAACTGAGTAGCTACTGAGAGACTAACAAAAAAAAATTCAAGATTCATACTTGATGTAGTTGCCATGCTGCGCAAAGTTGCCGATTAACATTCTTGCAGTGAAATAGAAACCGAAATATTAGCTGATATTTTGTCAGAGCTTTTCTTGAGATAACAAGGGATAATGGCCATCGGACCTGAATACGAAAGACATACTTCAGTAACGTGATAACGAGACTTAAATACTTAATTATAATGAGATTATCATCAGTAAGTGGACATCTTAAATGGTCCAAAACTCCTGAAATTCCTACACCAGCACTGATTTAAAAAATCTTTGTTTAGAAATCATGTAAACCATTCTTATATACTACCTAAATAATAAACTGGTTGTTTCAGCAGCACAAAGACAATTTCAGTAAAACAAAATATCATTACAAATTTGACCAGTAGAGCTAAGACTACCTGAATTTTTAAAACACCATGTACCATATTATATTATCCAGTCAAGTAAGACTAACGGCAAAATCTATCTCACAGAGACAACAAAGACACTGAGGAAAAGTTCATTCTCGAAAGTATGTATCCCATGCAACGGTTGAAACTAAGATAATTGCAAATAAAACAACATCACTGAAATCAAAACTAATTTTTATTGAGATATAAGGAGAAGGAACAAAAAATACAGAACAAGGGAGGATCTCTTACAGCAACTACAAACCTTGAAACTCAAAGAAAATGTCTCCAAGCCTGTTATGCTGATAGGTTCTTCAATATCACTGCTACTGGTAACAGTCTGGCTGGTTTGAAGATCTTTGAGTGTACTCAACCTTTTCATCAGAGTGGTTCTTTCCTGGTAGCATACGGTAATTTTTTGTTGAGCAAGTTCGGCAATACAGTTCCATGCCATACAAGTGTAACCATATAAAAAAGGTTAAGCACTAACCACACAACATGTTAAGTCCTCGTGGCATGGATCTGCTACTGCTGCTGTGGATCGCAACGCAAGATCCAGGAGAGACTATATAGGACATGGAAAACAATTTGTATAACAAGTAGTGAGTATGACAAGTATTTTACTCATACTAGATTCTTACAAGAAATTAGAAGAGAAACATAATTTCCATTTGCATATAATACATGTAAAGACAGACCTGCAGCTTCTCAACAGAAATTTCATCTGGCTTTTTCATGAGCTCCTCCCGAGATATGTCCATAAAGTGAACCAAAAAATCACCCTGCAATATCAATTTAAAAGAAAAAGAGAAAAAAAATGAACAGTCTTTCTAAATTGTCACAATGAACCTCTAATACTAACCATAATCCTACGGGAAAAGTCAGTATCAAACCCTACCCAGAAAAGAAAGGTATAGCCAGAAACCATATACTATCTAACAATTTGGGAGAGAGCCAATTTTAAATGCCAACCAATATCAAAAAATGGAAGAAGAAAAGATATAAAAACTCGGTATATATTAGCTTCTTAATGCTGGCTTTGTAGTTCTAAAAGATTAGGCCGGCGGTGAGATCTTTGTAGCATGCAACCACCTACAATCGGCTCAAATGATAATCGGCAAAAGATTTAGTTGCAAAATGCTTCCATTCTTACTACTTTAGATATTTTAGCAGTAAAGTAAATAACAACACCTAGCATCCCATATCAATTAGTTCTCTAAAGCATATCCATTATACACATGAAACTTCTGAATCTCATTTCTGAACTGATAATGAACCATAATTTGATAATCTATACACTAGTCATACCTGATCAAGAAGAAGATAGTGCTTGATTGACCTCAGTTTCCCCATTAAGTCATACTGCCATTAATACAAAACATAAATAAATTAATCTCGCACGGGGATTGGAATGGAAGCAGTGAAAGAGAAAATTGAATCTCTTTACAGACCTTTTCTTTTATGAGATTTAATAATTCTCCACTAGCAAAATCATAAGCAGCTTTGATGCACTCAAGGTAACGATGATTAGACCCTACTGTCGTTAACTTTGAATTTTCAGATACAGGAACCTATTCAAAACAATTTGATCAAGGGTGTATACTATAATATTCAAGTGAAGGGATTAACTAAACAACAAAAGTTTCACAAAATAAACCTGAATACTATGCCCACATTCTCTCATAACATTTAAATATTTTCCGGTCGTCAAAATTGTTTCAGCGGCATTTGCAAGGAAACTAGGAATGTCATCTTTCAGGCTGTACCGTTTTTGCCAATACTTTGTATCATAATCTCGTGTGAGACTTTCCTGTCAAGAGTAAAATGAGGTGGAGCTCCCACAGCATAAGTCTGGACCATGCACTTATAAATGAGGCCATACCTTTTGAAGAGACTTGTTCTCAGCAATAAAAAATTCGCCATATGGATCATCAATCACTCCCTCATAAACCCACCTGTAATTAAAATATATTCCATCAGCAATAATACTAACTACAGTGAACAAAATAATGCAGAAGGGCATATATGATCCTCAATTTTTTTAATTTACGAAAAAAAAAAGTTTGGCCTTATATACGTCTTACAACGCACACACCCAACACACGCCCGAAGGGATTCGAACCTCCAAACTTTCACCAAACACCACTATGGAAGAGGCTCTTGGTACCACTAGACTAAAGCTTAGTTGGTATATATACGATCCTGAATTATGCATGTGTATTACCAGAAGTTTCTTCTAAAATATGGTACATCCCATTCATATTGCACTTGTATTTTTTCCACCAGAGATGTGTTGTTACAGCATAACAATTTACTGTTACCTTGAAAGACATAAATGCATTTAAAATCTGAAGTGCTAAAGACTCTCCAATACAGTTTTACCAATTGGCATAGGCAACTTCTAAGTCACTAATTTGAACTTAAAAAACATATTCTGGCCTTCTAAGCGACTGAAGAAACATACTTTCCTTATTAAATGTCAAATGCACTTTTCCTGACTCTCTATCACAAGCTGATTTCTTTATTTGCTGACACTTCACAGTTTTTTCACTCAGTTAAGTTTTTAGCCAAGCCAATCCAATCTGACATTTCTAACTACTACAATACCATATTGGTAAAACCATTCAAGAACCACGTCATAAATACCTCTCTAATATTCCAAGATATGCTTGACTTGCGCATTGTGACATCTTTTCCAACAAAGATCGCACCACATGGTCACCAGCCATGGCCTTGGCCTGAAATTATTAAGTAAATATGATTGTCATAGTAAACCATAAAACTGTTATTTTTATGCTTTCTAGACTATTAATGTGTTTGTAATGCCGTACCTGGCTTTGCAAAAGGTTAAGAACAGCAGAGCCAATGAAATTATTAGATGAAGCCTTCCTTATCACTATGGATAAGGCTTGCATTGACCCGATCATTGGCTATAAGAAATGATGAAACAAGTTGGTATAAACCTGATACTAAAGAGCCAAAACAGACATAAAAAAAAGGTTTTAGAAGCCAAACCTGGCAATAAAACCATAATCCTTGAACCGAAAGTTTTCTCAAACGAAATTGATGTTCAAGCTGGGCCACCATGGCTTGGTAATCCTAGAATCATGTTTACTAAATAGATATTAGTTCTCTTCCTGTAATAATCCATATAGGATCACATACGCTGCACCACTCACATTTTATACCAGTTGAACATGAGGAAGACACAAATGAACTAGCTTATAGTATTACACACAAACGTATTAAACAAGGCCCGTATCCAAAGCATAAGTAGAGAAACAAATATGAATCTCTCTTTTTCTTGGCAAAATTTCAGATAACAGTGACAGGGTGAGTGACATCCCTCCTCTTTTGTTATCTCCCACTAAACTTTGCTAAGAATCACATTCCTACAAACATGCCAAATGGTAAGACAAGCAAACTATGATATGCTTACTGACAGCGGTAGGAACCAATGAAAAGCGTCATTTGTATACACAAGCCATTCCAGAAAACAAAGGAGCGTCATACAAATTTAAAGAATAGCGGACTGCTATAGAAGAAAAGGTTAACAAAATTAACCAAAAAAAGAAAGTAATAAAGAGAGGAACCTACCAGGAGCAGTGTTCTAAGTGCAGATGCAAAAGCATGATTGACAAGACCACTCTTGAACTGGGACCTTGATTCGACGAACTGAGTAATTAGTAAGTAGCTCTCACACAGA